GGAGGGGGGGAAGTCCCGGGGCGTGGCGCGGCGGTGGTTCTTCGTGCCTCTTGGCTGCTCTCGTGCACCCTGGGGAGGGCACCCGCGGACGGCCTGTGCGTTTGGGCCAGCGGAGGGTCTCGAGCTCTTGAGGGATGTTCCTCTGTCCGAGGTTCGACGTGATGGCAGCGGCTTGCGCGCTCGGGCTCGGACCCCAGAAGTCGCGCACCAAGGTTCGTGCGCGTAGCCGACTTTGGGCGCCCAGGGCCCTAAATGGCGAGAGCGCTGGCATCAGTGAGCAGCGCAAGGAGCATCAATCGAGCTTGGGCCTCTGGGGGGCCTCTTGCTGCAGCTTGGAGCGCCTCAGGGTCCAAGGGCCTTCTTCAGGCCTCCTGGGGCCGTCTTAGGTCCATCTTGGGCCATCGTGGGAGGAGCAGGAAAGGGAGGATGAGGAGGAGGAGGAGGAGGAGGAGGAGGAGGAGGAGGAGGAGGAGGAAGAGGAGGAGGAGGAGGAGGAGGAGGAGGAGGAGGAGGAGGAGGAGGGAGAGGAGGACTGGCAGCCTGGGGCATGGGCCCTGGCGCAGGGCTCATGGGCAGTTTTTGTCGTCACTTTCTGGGGGTCATGCCTGGGCATCATCGCTCGGTCTTGAGCAGCAGCTGGAGGTGGAGGTGGAGAAGGAGGCGTTTCTAAGGAGAGAGTACATGATGGTGGAGAATACCATGAACACCATAGACAAGGCGGTTGACTTGTGCGAGAATCTTCAGGGATTCTTCGTCATGCACGCGGTTGGCGGTGGCTGCGGCTCGGGCCTAGCTTGCGCGCTACTGCACGAGATGCGCGCTCGGTATGCCAAGCAAAGCATCTTCCAGCCGCTCATCTATCCGTCCCAGAACATGGCGAACTCCATAGTGGAGCCGTACAACTGCCTGCTGGCCACCCACCAGATCCACCAAGAGAAGACGTGTGACCTGACGATGCTGATGGACAACGAGCAGGCGTACAAGGCTGCGACTGCAAGCTCAGAGATCGCCCGCCTCCCCTCTTTCGAGGTGGGCTGCAGCCTTCTCCGTCCCTCCCCGAGGGGCGCGGCCGGACTCGCTGCGGGGCCGGATGGACGCTTGCTCGCTCGCTCTTCACCCGCCCTTCTCCACCTCCTCCCCTGCCTCTCCTCCCGCCGCCCCCTCCTCCTGGCCAGCGCAGCCCTCTGCCTCCTCGGCTGGCTGCTCCCGCTGGATGGCTCCTCCCTCCTCGCCGGCCTTCTGCTGCTGCGTCCAGGTTGCGATGAAGAACCTGAAGATCCCGAACCCGACGTTCTGCCACCTGAACAAGATCATCGCCCAGATCATCACGGGAAGCCTCGCGGCAGCTCGCCCTCGGCGTCTCGGGCACGGAGCGTGGAGGATCGACCATCTCGCATCGAGCATCGAGGATCGACGATCATCGAGCATGGAGGGTCGCCGACATCGGCTCGAGCATCGAGGATCGGGAGAGGGGGGGAGGAGGTGGACGCGGGAGGAGGGAGGAAGGGGGGGAGCGGAAGCGGGAGAAGGGGAGGAGGGGAGGAGGGAGGAGGGGGGAGGAGGAGGAGGAGGAGGAGGAGGTCGAGGAGGGGAGAGGGGAGGAGGGGAGGAGGGGAGGAGGGGGAGGGAGGAGGGGGGGAGGAGTGGTGAGCGAGCCTCCCTCGCGGCCGCTCGTCGGGAGAGAGGGCAGCGGGGGGGGGGGCGGGGGGCAGGGGCGGCTGGGCGCGCCTTCCTCTACCCCTCTCGCGCGGTGGGCGGCGGCGGGGGACGTGCAGGAGGAGCCGCAGCAGGAGGAGGGGGAGGAGCAGGAGGAGAGGAGGAGGAGGAGAAGGGGCAGGGGAGGAGGAGGAGAGGAAGGAGGAGGAGGAGGAGGAGGAGAAGAGGAGGAGGAGGAGGAGGAGGAGGAGGAGGAGGAAGGAGGAGGAGGAGGAGTTGGAGGAGGAGGAGGAGGAGGAGGAGGAGGAGGAGGAGGAGGAGGAGGAGGAGGAAAGGGGAGGAGGAGGAGCTGAGAGGAGGGGCAGGAGAGGAGAAGGAGGAGGAGGAGGAGGAGTGAGGAGGAGGGGCAGGAGGAGAGGAGGAGGAGGAGGAGGAGGAGGAGGAGGAGGAGGAGAGGCAGGAGGAGGAGGAGGAGGTGGAGGAGGCGGAGGAGGAGGGGCAGGATGATGATGCGGATGATGATGAGACTTGTCCTGCGAACGTGTAGGGGGTGAAGCACAGAGTCCGTTCTATTTCGCTCAAGCCTTTTACCTCCAGGGAGCACCTGTATTCTTCAATGCGGGTCAGCGTTCCCAGAGTTCCCGCAGTTCCCGCGTGGGCCGCCATTGGTGCCCTCTGTGTCTTGGACGCCTGGTGGCCTGGGCTTGTGCGCCGCGGCGGCGGCGGGGGCCCCCCTGGACAGCCGTCCTCCACGCCGGCGGCAGAGGCAGCGGCGCGCGAGGCGGAGCGGGCGCTCGCCTGCGCTCGCCATCTCTCGGGTTGCCTGGCGGACCTTCCTCGGCTCTACGGGGAGGTCGGGACGCCCGCGGGGCGCGTGCAGCAGCTGCAGGAGGAGCAAGTCCGTCTCAGCGCGGACGCGGGTTCGTTCAACGTGCACACCATCGGTTTACCGCTCACGGGCGTGCTGATGCCAGACGGTGACGTCTACGAGGAGGAGCTCGCCAGCGGAGCCGACGGCGATGGTCCTGACATGGCGTCGCTGACGTTCAACGACACACCAGCTCGCCAGCGGCCCGCGGGACGGGTGTACCGCTTCCGTGCCTTCCCAACGGAGGCGGAGCTGCTGCGGCTGGAGCGCACTGCCAGGCGCGCCGCCAGGGATGCAGATCCTGCCGTCTCGGAGCCACTGTACTATATGCAGGACGCCGAGGTGCTGGGCTGCGGAACGACGGCCAGCTTTGGGGACGTTCTTGGCTTCTACCACCGCATGGCACCGCCGGCGGGCATGAGCTGGATTGCGGCGCAGTCGGTGACGGGCGAGGCCCAGAAGTGTGACGAGATCACACCTTGCGTCGGAGATGTGCCGTGGGGCGAGAGTGCCCTTCATGGCCTCTCGTCGGGCGTCATCGTGCCCATGGAGTTGGTGCCGACCTCCTCTATCGCGCGTGCCACTGGCGGAGAAGATGACGACGCCCGCATGCTGGGTGCTTTGACGCACACGCGGGAAGGTCGGCGGCGCCGAGACTTCCGCGAGTCGGTGAGCCAGACGCATCAGGAGGCCTTAGACGACTTCCCGCTGTCGGGCGAGCGCAGTTACCAGTGGCTGTGCGAGGACATTATCGAGCATGGCGGCAGCCCCGACGGCCGCCAGACCAAGTGGATGAGCGAGAGCGGCTGCACGACAGACTCGGCGGCCGCCCATCTCCACGACCTCCTGGGGCTCTCCAGTGAGCTCGCGCAGACGTATGACCGGGTCGACGGCCCGAACCTGGCCTGCATGGAGGTGGTGGGGCGTACCTGCCAGCTGGCGGGGGAGACGATGGGCAGCGTGAAGATAGAGGGGGTCGAGCACTACATCGGCCGCTCGAAGCAGAGTGCTTGCCGCGGCGTGGCAGTCCCCCCAGGCCTCGCCAAGTGCACGGCCGAGCAGCTCACGAGGGAGACCGAGATCCAGAAGCAGCGGAGGAAAGCGCGCGGTGAGAAGAGCGCCTCCTCTGGCAAGAAGGGACAGGGGTGACTTGGGGCCAGCGGTCAGGAGGTCGCTCGACCCGACCGCCGTTTCTCGAGAGCCAGTTTTGTCGGCCTGGTGATGGCCCACCTCTGTGCATAGAACCGTATAGTCCCCTCATATATACCCCTTATCCTCGCTCTCCTGAGCCCGGCCGTTTGGGCTCAGGTCTTGGATTTGATCGATCAGACCTTTGATCGTGCAGGAGGAGAAGATATCCATCTTTCCTTCCTTTCCTCTACCAACGGATCAGGGGTTCTGTACCTTTGTACTTCAACCCCATGCACAGGTTATCAGCCCTTAAAGCTCACAGTTCATCGAACCCCGCGTCGCGATCTCGCGCGCGGCCTCGATGGAGCCCGAGCGGCGCATGCGCCGTAAGGGGTCCATCGGGGCCTCGCGTCCGAGCTCTCCGACGGCGCGACGGCTCGGCGACGAGTTGGAGAGACAGTGTGGGTGTCCCCGATACCCCCCCCCCCAGCTCAGACGGACCCGAGGCGCGGCTAGCTGCTGAACTTCACCGCCGCGCCGCCCGCGGGGGGACAGGGGAAGGAGTAGGAGCAGGCAGTAGAGAATTTCACACGCCTACCTTCGACCCTCCATCTCCTCTTCCGTCGGGAGCAATCCCAACTGCGTCGGACGCCAGCTCGGCTGGTCCTGATACTCCAGGGCGCTTCCGCGCTACCCGCCGATGGAACACAGGTACTGGCCTGACCAGTCCTGCGACCGCTCCCGTATCGGAGCACGCGGCTGCCTTTGAGGAGCTCGGTAGACCAGTGTCGGCACACCCGCAGACGCAGCATCCCCAGGTATCATCTCGTCAGACACCACACACACGGCCCTAGCCGCAGCTCGTCCTTGCGTAACCGTCGTGAGGCCACAGGCCCATACGACGAGAAAAAGTCGAGCTCGCGTGCTGCCTCTCAGAGGCCATGCAGTCCTCGCGAGAGGATGCAACACGGAGCTGACGCTCCTCACCTCTCCCTCTCAGACGACCTGCCGGCGGTCACGTCCGCTGCAGGTGAGATCGCTGAGCTCAGAGACCAGGTTGAAACCTTCGTGTCCAGGCAGTGCTCTGGACTGATGCAGAGCGTTCAGACGAACGCTGCCAACGCTGCTGCCCGACGTCAAGATTTTGGCGGCGCCTTAGCGATCATAGATTCCAGGATCGCTGAAGATCGTCGTATCTTAGGTGAGCTGCAGTATCGGGGTGACCGTGAGATGTCACACTCAGGTGAACGGTCCGCGACGGTCGAGCACCTGCGCAACTACCTCGCGCAGATGGAGCGACAGCTTGTGATCGTTCGCGGTTCGTGACACAGGTGTTTCAGCGGTCAGGATCCCACATGACGAGATCCACGACCAGCTCCGAAACCGACCGCCACCAGCTGACGCAACCGATCTCGGCGACGTTCAGTCTCAGATCACTGATCTTCCATCTCATATGGACCACACTACAGCGACGCTTCGCACTGAAGCGAACACCAACTCGTCGACCCTGATCGGCATGTTGCAAAACACTGACAGAGTTATCGCTCAACGGCTTGGTGCGACCAACGCTGTCGTGCAGCCCCTCACTAACCGGATCTCTGGAATCGAGCATCGTTTACCTGGTGTACTGGACGCCCTGGCAGAGTTGCGTGTTGGGCGAGCCCAGACTGCGCAGCTGGGATCTCCTCCTACGGTTTACGATTTCGCCCGCCTCACTGACAGGTTGCAGGAGGTTGAGACGGCGGCGGACCACGCGCAGTCTGAGCTCTCCCAGGTCATTCGTGAGAGTGATGCTGAAAAAGGTACGTGTCGACGAGTGTCTCACACGTCTGGAAGGTGAAATGGAGGCACACAACGCCCGTCTCCGAGCCTACGAGCAACGACTTGATCGGTATTCCCAACGCTCTCGGGACACTGACGATTATGCACGCCAAAAAGTGGACCAGATACACGAAGATATGACAAGCTGGACAATCCAATTGATTGACCACGCCAACGACGCTACACTTCACCTTCAGCCTACAACCGGCCTATCCAGGCCGACGGCAGCGTCCGCTGAAGCACCGCGCGCTTCTGCAGGACAACAACGACGTGCGTCACCTGGAGCAGCCTCCGCGGCAGCTTCGGCACAGACACGCCACGTGTCTCCCGTGCGCACAGAACCAGCTACCGACGGTGTACCGATACCCTCAGAACCATTGTCTGCGGCTCCGGTCAATACTACTACTCCTATCAAAGGAGTCAGACACCATCCGAGTCCCTGTCTTGCCTAAGATCACACAGTTGCCGGAGTGGCAGCAAAAGGTACGGAAGAATTTTAGAGCCGCTTCAGGGCGACCATCCAAAGCATATGCATTCCTATGCGTGGCTGAACAGCCCGAGTGTACCTTTGAGGACTTACAAGACAGCGGAGACTTTGAGAGCATCGATAGCAAACTCGCTACCGCTCTCAGCGACATCTTATCCTCTGATCTGCGCTACCAGATCAGGATCATCGAGACCAGAGAGCACAAAGCAGGACGCATGCTGAAAGGACGCCAGATATACTGGCACATCCTGCAGCCCTACAAAGTGACAGAGGTTGATGACGACCTACATGATTTTTAGCGCCTCAAAGAACTGAGGATGAGAGATGACGAATTGCAACGATTCATTACCGACTGGGACGCTTTACTGTTGGAATGCCGAGAGGCACCCGACCCGAAGATCTTGGAATCTCTGTTTCGCACGCAGATTCGCCGACATGCCTGGATGAAACAGGATATGTACGAATACCAGCGCACGAAGATAAGCGACCCGAATCGTACCTGTGATTGGCTCCGACAGCGCGTTCTAGACGTACTGGAGCTCAAACAACTCGAGACTAATCAGAACAAGTTGAGGTACGAGTATGAGAACCGTTCTCAGGTGAAAATCTGCGCAGCCTGGAAGAAAGGCAATTGACGCAATGGTGACCGTTGCAAGGCTTTACATACCTTTTCCAGGGATGGGAAGGACAGCAGATCTTCCCGAGCATCGAACGCTGGCGGCAACACTCGCCGTAGCGTCTCAGCCCCTGCGAATTCCAAAAAGCCAGGATCGAAGCCATTTTGCTTCGATTTCGCCAAGCGCAGCACCTGCGCACGCGGCGACAAGTGCACCTTCCCACATATGGCGCAGTGCAGTTACTTCACACATAACAAGTGCCACAAGGGCGACAAATTCAAGTACGCTCGTCTGGCACCTGGTACGAAGACACCTGAGCGAAGCCCCAGCCGTCCACGGACTTCCAGTCAGGACAGCCGTGGTCGCCCACCATCCCGCGGATCAGGGAGCATACGCTCTCCACAACGCGGGGGGCCCCGGAATGCGGGGGGCTCATGCAACCGACGTGACCACAGACGCCAATACGACCGATCTCGATCATCCCCCAGGAAATTTACCGACTCTCGCAGTCCATCGAGAGGCCGATATGATAGATCATCACGATCATCTTCCCGAGGACGAGACGGGCGTGGCAGAGGACGTGGCAGCCCACGTGGCCGCGACAGATCATATGGCAGCGACAGAGGACGTGACCGACGTTCCACGAGCCGCGGTTCTTCCCGTGGCTCCCCCAAGTTCAGGACACGCTCTCCCGCTACCTATCGCCGCCCGCGCCACTCCGACCGCAGTTACGTCATACGTGACAAGACTCTCATGGCCGCCCACAAGGCCAAGACAGCATCTACCAAACCACGGCGTCGGATACGTTTCGACACACATACCGTGGAATACTACACGTACATCGTTTCTGGCAAGTCCACTCTGGACAAGAAGATGGAGAAGCCAAACGAGGGCGATATCGTCAAAGTACCAGATCCGCTGCCACAGCGGCGGTGGAAACAGAGTGCAGACGCCCTACAACGTTGTCAACGGAAGGCCAAGTTATGGTATCAGGACCTACATGGCTACCGACACGACACGGTGTCGGTGGAGACATCAACCGCGATTCCAGGTTCCGACGACTCTACCACAGAGTCCTCCGGGACGCATCAGGAGTCAGTGGCGACTCAGAAAGTCGATCCACCACGGTCGACAGCCGCACTGACACGATCCTGGGTTCTCGACAGTGGATCTGCGCACAATATTCAGGATAAGAACGAGCTGACGCAGACCGAATCTGATCGCATATCTATTCGCGAGGAACATATTCTGGAAACTGCCAATGGTGATCGTATTGTCAACGAGCACTACGACATCCAACTACCTGAAGTAGGCTTGAGGAGTTCAGCCCTCGCCTTGCCAGATTGCACATCGTTATTTTCAGTTGGACAATTGATTGAGGTTGATGGCTTTCGGCAGCTTTGGGATCCCGATCTGGGCTACATGCTGCAGGGTCCGGGGGGCCAATGGTATAAGGTTCCCGTCAACAGCAGAGTTCCAGAACTACGCCTCGACGATCTGGCGAAGATGCCACCACCACGATTGTGCACTTCATCAGCACCCAGACGTCGTCAGCGCAAGGCATCTTCTGCGCGCTGCAACGACATATGAAGCTGTTGCAAGAGTCCAGAGCAGTCACCACCTACAGGTGGGCAACGGCCCCACCTAGGGACCTGTCCCAAGAGACGACATGTCGGTGGGGGAGGAGGAGCACGGACCCCTACGGTCGAATAACCTCCCGAGACAGATAATGCCGAGTCCAGCGTGGATGCACACAGCGACTCGCGTACGTCTCCGAAGCAGTGTTCTCCTCCCACATGCGGGGGGCCCATCAAGACCTGCGGGGACACCCCAGGTACAGCTCAAATAGATACCGACATCACGTCGGCCTCCCTCGGGGATCTGCCGGTGGAGACGCTTCCCAAGGTGCGCTCTGATGGTGATCGTGTTCTTCCAAACCGACAGAAGAAGCCAATCGACCCTATGCATTGCATGACCCACAGTCCGAAACATCCAGACTGTGAGATTTGCTCTCGCACCATGGCGCAGAACGCCCCGTGCA